TTGCTTAGAATGAATATTGCCCACCAAAGGATCCACTTAGCATGATATCGTTCAACAAAGGATATCGGCCAAAGATATCGTTTGATACTTGAACGATTTAAACTTCAAGTCATAAACACAGATATCGCTCAGTGCTTTGGGTGATGTTCTCCGATATCGGGCAGCATGTTGAGCGGTATACTCCAAATCGCTCATGACTTAGACAGTTTTCATGGATATCGGGCAAACCTTGAGCGGTATCCTTGAATATCACTCAACGCATAGGAATTTTGTCTAAGTGTAACTATCGCTCAACGCAGTTTTAAAATAAGCCAACTTACATATCATCTTTAATGCCCGATATACTACCAAAATTGCTCATAACATCCTCAAACCTTCATTGGGCTATGTTCATCATGAATATCGCTCAAAGGTTAAATTCAACGAGCGATATAATAGAATCTGGCAGTCTAGGCTTAACAGTTCGACAAAATCATTAAAAAAATCAAAGTTTTTCAAGTAAACTCCAAAATGATGATTGATTCTTGTTCAAAATCACCAAAATACAAATTCTTTGGCACAAATTTGATTAAAACACTCAAAATCATCGTGAATTTGATCAATTTAGGCCCAAAAATGTCGAAGAAAGATTGATCGTATCGAATGGATTGTCCGATTATGCTCTGATACCACATGTAGATCATAGTTCATAAATCAATTCAAGATTAGAGATTATCAGATTGAAGATTGCACAAGATGAACAAACAGATCTGTTTATTATTCACAGAAAATAGAAATTCTATAGAAAGCAATCCTCTCACTTAATCCTTCTAAATATCCCCAAGTTAATGAAAGATTTATAAAGTCATCTTTTGTATTTTATTGTAATATATTTGTATATGGGCAATGGTCTTACATGAAATGACCCTATAAATAGACATCATGAGCTTATTTGTAATAATTCATTTGTTCTTATCTCTTATGATCAAAGTTTATGAGCTTATTTGCATACATTTTCATTGTGCTTATATGAAATATCTTAAGTGGGACTGAGTGCTTATTCAAGTATAACCTTTATGGACTATCACACCCGATAGCCTTACCCAAGAGGACAACCATACAGAGAGGTGAACTAAATTGCAAAATGGGTATATGTGCTGAGCTTAAAATGAAAAAGAGAGGGATAGTAGTTGTGAGCTTAACAAAATTGACTGAGAGTTGTATATAGGATTAAAAGAATTTCAAAATCCTAATCTAGCTATTATAATCCAAGCAAACCACACAATCTATTAGTTCTCAATTCTTTGGAGACTAATATTGAAAAGGCAAAGTCCATGCCCACTCTTGTTTAATACCCCACCAACTACTCAGTTATCTCTTAAAATATAATTGTTTTAATAACACTTGGGAAACACAGCTCATTATCTATCGATTTCTCATTCGTAGATTATTGATATTGAAAAAGAAACCTTTTCAAGTTTTCTTGAGCACAATCGAGTCTGATAAATTTGCTGTATCAAATTGAGCTTATTTTGAAGCATTCGTTGCTTTGTCTTTCTACACTACACAAATTTTACAGAATATTTGTTATTTTGTCATAATGTTCATAGATATTTTTTTTCAAGCTATCAATGATTGAATGGAAGTCTTGCTGAGATAAACGTTAAAAAGTCTCATATTTAAGTACATCTGTTGCACATAATATATTTGTTGTATTCATAGGCCAATCTTTGTATAAAAGATTGAAAACAGATTTATAAGTTAAATCTATTTTTTCTCAAATCATGTTCTGATAAGAATACATAGACGAATTTGAAAAGATTTGCTTATAATTTATGAATTGATGACATTAACCATTGAACATTCATTTATCAATATGATGTTTATGATCTTCGTTCACATCATAACGGGGAGATGATACAAAATGAATGGAAATTGTCTGAGAGATTTCTGTCAAAGGGGAGATGAGATAAAATGAATGTTGATGTTAAGATTAAGGGAAACTGTTGGAAATTATTGTTGATTGCTAAAGATTGTTACGATGATATGGTTAAGGGGGAGTTAATATGAAAAATCACATAAAAGGGAGATAAATGAAGATTATTACAAACTGAAGATGATTTTAATTGTCAGTTATAAAGGGGGAATGTTGATCATCTCTCTCAGTGATTTGATGATAATCCCTTTTATCTATCGAAGTGTGCTATCTATGTATTCAGCTTCAATGATCATCATTGAGTCTGTTTAGTGATTGTTGAACATGTATTGTAATTTCTTCAGAGACAAGTATCCTTCAAGAAGACAAAACTCACACCACAGAACCTTCAACGACATCAAAGATAGAAGCTGAAGATAGAGACCAAAAAGTTTGTGATCTGAAGCGGTTTTCAGTGATAACAAGTTCGTCTACAAAAGTGTGAAATCTACTCACGATTCAACAAACATTGATCAGACCTCTAGCATCATTCCAGTGTCAACGATCAAATGAATCTTGTCGAACAAGATTAGTTTTTCTCTTGTCCTTGTTGGTCCCAGCCGGATCTACAACAAATTATAGAGAACAGTTTGTAGAAGGGGGGATGAATACAAACACATCATCTTTCACTTTTAAAAAACTTATATTGATAAAGAAGATCACTATAGATTTTAACAGATTGTTTGTGAAAAAGATAAGATACAAAACTTATCTAACACAATCAAAGGTACACACAAATGACAGATAGAAAGAAGAACAAACTTGCTACAAGAAATAGATTATGAAGTAATGTGCTTTTCACTAGTTACGTGTATTAGAGGGAGGTGTATCTTCTTGGGTAAGATCTTCAAGGCAAGGATGCTTAGGGGTAGGTTTCAAAAGATAACTGAGAAGAGAGAACTACTCAGCTATTTATACCCATTGCATTAAATACAATTGAGAAGGTAGAAAGCACGTGGCAAGCTTTAAGAGGTAAGCTTGTTATTTGTTGTAGTATATAGCCTTTTGGATGTATATGAACAGTCTTCTTTCATAAAGTAGGTAAGCACACTTGGAGACAATAAAATGACTCTATACTGTAGTTTACTTAGAAAGGTATGGGTTTGTCCTTTGTGTGCAAAAGGACAAGATAAAAAAATATCTTGTTCAACAAGATTCATTTGATTGTTGACACTGGAATGATGCTGAAGGTCTCATAAGTATCCACTGAATGTTGAGTAGATTTCACACTTGTGTAGATGAGCATGTTATCACTGAAAACGCTTTAGATCATGAACTTAGTGGTCTTTATATTCATCTTCTATATTCGATATCGCTGAAGGATCTATGGTGTGAGTTTTGTCTTCTTGAAAGATTCTAATCTCTGAACGAATTACAATACATAATCAGTGATCACTGAAACAGAAATTGGAGTGCTTTTGAAGGGGTAAGTGATTATGTGTTTTAAACTTTTAACAAATATCAAATACTAGCTACTAACAATTTAATACTTATACATATTTCATATTTGTAGCTAATGTTATATTGAACTATAGTTATTTAGATACACACAAAGAAGGGGAATAGGCTTGACAGTCAAAGATTGAATAATCTTRTATTTGTTCAAAAAATTTAATGCAAAACTCATCAACAAGTGCGCGAGAGTGAAAAATCAAAACATGGATGTACCATGTACTCTTGACACTAGTAAAGCACAATCATGGATAGTTGCTATTAATGACGAGGMTGAGAAAATGGAAGAAGGTGGTAGCTTGAAGGCTAGAGAACTTCATGAGGATGACTTTGAGTCCGGTGAAGAACCACAAGTTGAAGGMGAGGAAGATTTTGAATCCAATTCCGATGATGAAAGACTTTTGGATATAAATCAAGAAGAAAACGGATTACATGGAAGGATAGTTTCTTTATATGATATAYCTAATCTAATCTAACATAAAATGTTTTTTGTATATGCTATTAGAGTTTTAGATTASAGATGTATGGATTATGGAACCATTAGAAAAACTTTCTTTTTGTTATGATCTCTTCATATAATTTTTGTAAGCATTGTATATAACTATATTTGAATATTTGATATCAAATATCAATGCATAGTTCTTCTTTTGTGTATAGTTACATATGAATTTAATTTGTAAATCATTATTATATATATAGAGATTTGCAGCCTTAGGCCACGCCTTGAAAAACGTCATTGCCTAATCTAAAAAGGGAGCAGTTGTAAATAGATGCCCAAACCCAATTATCGATAGATACTAGATGTTGATCAATGGAGACAACAATAGTTGCAGATTGATGGAGGGAGTAGTAAATAGATCTTTGTGTGATGCCATCATCCTGGATCGATAATAAAGATAAAAAGGGGRATGGGGAGGAGTAAAAGGAGGATAAAAGAGGAGTAAATGACCTGATAAATGGCTGAGTCTATATGACTATTTTTTGGGCTGACCAAATAAGCGGGTTTTTTAGCCATTAAGCCACTTCTGAACAGCTTTGTATAGCTTACTGAATAAGCTATAAGCCTTATACAGCCCATTAAGCCGTTATCGAACAGCCCCTAAGTTGCTTCACATGGAAGACCTGTATTCAAATCTTTACACCTTTATCAATCTTCCCGATATGAAAGGAATTTGCACTACAATATTTTACATCAAACCAAATGAGTTATCATTTAGTCAAGGTACACATGATCTCACAATTTAGTAGATAATTACCTATGCTTTTRATGAAAAGCCAAATATATTTGCTTTCATCCAATATATTTGAACAATTTAATTTTRTAGATATAGCATTAACCTTGTTTATAAAAGCTAACTTCAAAACATATCATCCTTGATTCTGATTTTGCATGAATCAAATGATATTATATCAGATTTAACATGATAGAAAAAGAAACTTTTTATTTGTAAGAAAGTAATTGGTCGGAACAAGGATAAAGCGTGGAATGGGCATGCTAGCATGTGTTGTTGCAAACCCAASGTTATATTAAACTTGCTTCTGAAATGTTCATATTGTAAACTAGACATACAATTTAGTAGCTCCTTGCACTTACTTGTTTGACATGGTCAACTTTACCAACTTGTGCAGTCCTAGGATCAAGATATGTGTGTGAGTGTGAGTGTGAGACATGGTCAACTTTACCAACTTGTGCAGTCCTAGGATCAAGATATTCATCCTCGCTTATCTCGCTAAATGAAGAAACCAGTACCTGCAAAGACCATCTCACATAAAGAACAAGCGAGATTTGGCACATTGTCAATTATAGTAGCTAAGCTCCRAATGACTAGAAATATGCCATCACTAAGTTCTTTCTTATTTATAAATAAATAATTCACAAATAGTTTTCCCAAGTAAATCTACCATGATTCACATTCACATTTCCTGCCCACTCATCAACCTCCACCCAAAGTAAAATCGAAATTACATGGACAACATCTCCAAAAACTTATACATGATTGTGAATCGCAACTTCGATTCAATATAAAATTGTCATTTAAGATGCTATGGAATATCACTTAACGTGTAGTTTTGAAGTCTTTAATATCAACATTGTGTTGTGTTGTAAGCCAATGCAAAACCAAATAGAAGAAATAAAAGCCACCAAAGCAAACAAACCAGAAATGACATGAACCTCAACTTTGCAATGTAAATGATCAACAATTTAAATATTTGATGAAAGTGAATCTAGTTACAGAATATATKCTTRCTACCTACTAAATAACTCCTCCCTTCAAATGAAAAACTAAAGAATGAACAAAGAAGTATGATCATCTTTTGTTTGAACATTATATTKATTGTGAAGAGTGTCCAAATACTAGGGAAACATAAAGAAAATTGCTTAAGATACAACAATAAGGAAAAGGTACTAGTAAGATACTTGTCCTTTTTAACCGTGTTGAGATCTTTTTCAGTGGTACAATTTACTATGGAAATTTACTTTAATTGTAACGGATTATAAGGAAAGAATAAATTTGCACAATATTAATAACTGAACACTGAAAGAATATTAATTGACTAGAAAGATGTCAATGAATGTAAGACATAAATAGAACTCATAAGTACATGTCTCATTTACTTTTCATGGATCTTTTTCAGTGAACTGATCATTTTATTGAAATATCTTTTAAGGGAAAACGTTACAAGTTATTACAATCAGTTTTGGTAGACCTAAAACATAAAGGTTATACACTGAAAGAAAAGATAAGAAATACAAGATATCACAAGACTGAAAGGACATCTAATCTAGATTACTGAAGTTGATGTAGACATGGGCATCTTCTCCCAACATCTTGCGTCTGAGCATTTCCTTTCGAATCTTTGCGCTCCATCATATATTCTAATAGATCATTATTCATCCAAGTCCTTAGATATTTTAAGTGATCTATAGAGCAGAGATGGAGCTTAGATACTCGTTATAACCTGTATTGACCATCATAGTCAATGAGCTTGAGTCCATATTCAGGTTTCACATGCAATGTGTTGGGTATATAAGGACCCTTATCAGGCAGTGACAAGTTCAGCATTGAGATATCTGGCTTCTTTCGATCCTTGATAAGTTCATCCATTGAGAATTTTGTCTCGTGTTTGTTCTTGTGGGATTGTCCATCTTCAGGTTCTGAAAGAGATTTTCTTCGAGAGGGCGACTTCTTTGGCAGAGGAGGAACCTCGATGATATTCGACACCTTGTTGAATAATTCATTCAGAACTTCTTCAATAAAAGGCTTATGCTTGGATTTCGATCTTTAGATAGCTTGCCAAATATCTTGCCATTCGTAGAAGCCATATTGACTGAGTAAGGAAGGATACTTAGTGACAACATTTTTGTCTTCTCAGAATATGATCATTGAGATTAGGTGAGCACCATCTTTCATACGACCACTGATAGTGATGTTTGTGATTTTGTGTGGGATCATCCTTGTCTCGATCTTTTCTCTGCACCAGGAGAGGTCACTATTCTTCAACTTTAGATGATGTTCACGTTCAACTTTTTCTAGTAGCTTGGCTTGAGCACTGAGCAGATCTTTCCTCGTGAATTTCCCTTGTACAAGTGCCTGATCAGCTAGAGCCTTGGCTAACTCTAAGATGTCTTTGAGTTGTTGTTGATGTTTCTTCAGCTCTTCTTCAACACAGAGGGATTCTTCATGTTCAACTTCTAAAAGGAAATCAAATTCACCATAACCAGAGGTATGACGATGAATTTTTACTTTGGTTTGGTAGAGTTGACTTACTATCTGAGCCATCCTCTGGTCTTCATCAAATTCTAAATACTCAAGTTGTCTAGACAACTTCCTGGGTATTAGAGTGTTGTCTTTGTCAACATCTTCATCGTTCTCTAAGGTTTCAAAAGATGGGAGATCGATTGAGAGACCAGGAGGGTTTGTTGTTGTAGAGAGACATTGAGAGAAAGGAGTAGATGTTTCAGTTTGTGAGGAAGGAGGTACAAACCTAGAGGTGAATGCATCCTCAGATGGATAGATTGCCCATAGAACTATGGCAATATTGTCTTCAACCACTCCTTTGCCTTTATAAGTGGAGTGCTGGTTCCCTGATGATTTCCCCCCCTATAAAGTAGGTTCCCGGATGGAGATTCCTTTAGCTGGTTGTCTTTGGATGGCTTGGATGTAGAAATCATCATCGCCGTCATTATCATCGTCACCACCAAGATCAGTGCCTGCATTTGGAAGTTAAGGTTTAGAATCCTCATCATCATTATCATCTTCTTGATCATCTTCAACACCAACATTTGGCAATGCAGAGGTTGAAGGATGAAGGTCTTCATGGTCAGCATCAGTAGTAACCAAGATATCATCTTCATCATCATCATTGATGGCATCATGGATAGATTCCCTAGCATCCTCAGCATGAGGGTTTGGAGCATCGTCATTCAAAGTGCCTTCAACAGTCTCGTCATTGTTCTCCACCTTTGTATCTTTCTCCCCCTCTTTGTCATTATCAAGAGTAGAACCTGGGAGATGAAAGAGAGAGCTAAGGTCTTCCTCTATGGAGGAGATAGCCTTAGCTTGAAAAAGGTTGAAAGTAGTGACCCGATCCATCTGTTGACGGTCAGCATCTTTGTAGGCAGGTTCAAGGACAAGTGTTGGTTGCTGAAGGAGTTGGGAGATTTGTTGAAGGAGCTCACCATGCCCGATGAGCTAGGCCTAAACTTCATCAACTTTGCTAGAGAGTGCAGCGACATATTCAATGTTGACTTGAACTTCAGTCTTCACAACGTTCAGCATATCCTTGACATCACGTACCTCAACTTGGATAGCAGAGAGGTCGTTTGTTAGGTCTTCCTTGATGGACATTGCCTTGTGCACAACATCCATTTTATCTAGGACAGTGTCAACGACATGCAACAACAATTTGACATCCTCAACCATGTCATAGGCTTCAGCCTCGTTGACTGGGGGTTCATTCTCTAAAGAACCTGTAGAGTCAAAAGAGCATTGAGCATAAGATAGCTTAGGATTAGTAATAAAGAAAGAAAGGGAGATTGGAATCGTACCTGAGGGGTCATCAGCGTTATCTCAAGGATTAACACTGGGCATCTCATATGTGTTGTCTTGAGGATCAACAACAACTATCTAAGGTGCTTCGAGAGGAGGGAACTCAGGTCATGTGGTGATGGCTTTACCAATGGTGGGGACAACCACCATGGCATCATCAACACGTGTAATCGAGACCGATGAAGGAGGGATGGGGGGAGAGAATGGCTAAGAAAACTTATGGAGGATTAGCAGTGGCTATGCTGGTATTCACACATTCAGTGATTTGGATCACTAAGGTGGTTAGGATAGGAGTCACGTGTATGGCAGATCTGAAGAGATAGCTGAGATCCTTGGAGGGTTTTAGAAGGCACCTCGAGGGTAAGGCTTATTTCAATAGTTGAGACATGTTGAGAGGTCTCAGCTAGCTTGCTTGGCATCCCCTTTTTGGATTTCTTTGCCCTCTTTGAGGGACTAAGATGAGCTTCAGATTATGTCCTCTTACGAGAGGGTGAGGTTGAAGTGGCCGGGATAGACTGAGGGGGTTTGCCACAGTCTTATCCACTTAAGAAGAAGAAGAAGTAGGAGGAAGGGCACGTGCTATTCTCAACATGGTATCGAATAGGTCAATGTTTGAGGGCTTTGTATTGTGATCAAGTATTCTTGATCCAAACCGATAGATAGGCAGGTCACCTTCAGTGGGGAATTGGAATTGAGGAACCTTGTGTAGGGGACTACCTTCTCATGCTGACACTTGCTAAACTTCAGCACCAGATCGTCGAATATCAACTGTGCATAGTTAACGTTGATGTTTTTGATCACTAAGCAGTCGATGTTTAGTGCCACCCTCGAAGCTTGGTCTTGTCCTCCAGTCTTTCTGCCCATGCACTGAATAAAATGCGAGAATAGATATTGCCATACAACAAACATTCTTTTCTTCTCGATCTTCATCAGCGACTTGTTCAGTTCAGTGCTGAAGTCCTTCTTCAGAGGCTAAACTTAGTGTATATCATCCAATATATTGAGAATATCCTTAGTATCTAGATCTCTGGCATAGTGAACAGATTTGGGAAGGCGAAGAGCAACCTTGAGAGTAGAAAACTTACATTCATGTTATTGACCATGAAGAAGATCTTGATTATTGAGTTGCCATCTTTGTCTGTCACTGTCTTTGGTTCGGCGCTGTACCAGAACTGCTTTAGAAGGTCCTTCACCATTACTGGTTCAAAGATAAGAGCATATCCAAGTATCGAGTTCTTTAAGAACCTAGCAGCATCTGCAAACTGCAGTTTGTTCGCAGGTATTTCTAGAAAAGCCACATGATTGTTTGGCTTAAAAGTGTAATCTTCCAAAACAAAGTTAACACTTGGTGCAACAGCCATTTCTGTAAAACAAGATGAACATAAAAGAATAATAGTTCATAGATTAATGTTAGTAAGCACTTTAGGATAAAGTTTGAAATAAAAACTTTCTTTTGAAAAATCAGAAGAAGAATAGCGTTTTAAAGAAGATTTAGAAACTAGGTTAAAATCAAGAAGAAGAATAATTTACAACCTTTTGTTTGTATTTAAAAGAAATAAAAACATTTTTAAATAAAAAACAGTTTCTTAAAAGAGTATGTTAGTGAATGCCCAAAAACCAATCATATGATGATTGTAACTTTGAGTTTTGTTTCATGAAATTAATAAATATAAAGGCATTGCCCATTTTATTATGTCTATATTATATTCTGTGTTTTAATATTCATAATAAATAACCTTAGAATAATGTATTCTAAATGTCCCTAGTTAAATATTATTTCGGGTTTAAGGTTGAAGTAATATGATAATGACTAGCATATGTGGGGATTCATATAGAGATATCGAATATGCATATGGGTACAAAATGGAGACATTGTGTATCAGATGTGACTCGTTATGAGAACACTTCATTGGATGTCATGTGAGTGTCATAAGTGTTTCTCATGTGGTCAATGTACATGTAATTCTTTGACTTGAGAACATGGAGTTTGTTATGTGTGAGTAATGTATTTTGACATTTATTCTAATCATTCCGTAACTGGGTGACAGAATGATAGTTGGGTATATTGCATATCATATGATAGAATTAGAATGTATCGAGATAGGATTTGTCCCTCCCTTATGATGGGAGTGATGTCTTTGGGCCCCTTGATAAATATATACTAAATAAATGCATGCATGCTTAGATAATTGATAAAAGATATCATTATCTATTTTTATTAGTATGTTAAGGAATCAAGAAACTATAGATTGGACATAACGAGAATGACACTTCAATGTCTCGTGTTCAATCTGTACATCAAGGACAAAA